ATAATTTTAAAGAAGTTAAAAGAAAAGTAATGTTAACTTTTTTTATAAGAGAAAAACAAATGTTTATTATTTTGATATTTTTAGATCATAAACTAATATTAATTAAATTATTTTATATTTTTAGACAAGACAATTGAGCTTTTTAGGAGGTAAGGATCATCATGATGTGATTTCGTACATGATGAAACATATTTTAACAAATAAATTAGCAATGGAATATAGTTGGGCTGGTGCAAAATTGAAAAATGCCTTTAAAAATCTTCGCATTACTATATGTATCATAAGTAAGTATATAAATATTTAATCACAGAAATGTTTTTATTGACATATTTTTGACACTTTATATATAGCATTCTATGCATGGTTATATTGGATGATGCTATTAAAACTCTAATATCATTATTCAATAATATGTAATCATAGGAATATAAAATAATTTTGAATAGTATATATACATATATACATATATATATATATATAAAATTAAGTCGCTTTAAATTTTTATATAATCTATAACCACACATATCTGTTTAAACTTGTTGTTAGATGCTGCGCGAACTTCAAGAACCAATTTAACAAATAAGGAAGTTGAGGATATAATTGCAAGATGGCTAATTTTAGCCAAGCAGAGATTTGACCGAGATTTGTAAGTTATATATAATATACCTCAATTTAACTATTTTATCATCTTATCTCAAACTTTTTATTTTTATAAGAAACTGATTTTAAAGAGGGTGAACACATGCACTATCTGTTCATTATTGCGTGTATTAGTTTTTTTAAATTAAATACAACATTTAAGAACTTATTGTTATTTTTGTATAGAATATTTATTGCAGAATTGACTTATTGCACCTATGTATAACAATCACATATTTCTTTTTAGGAAAAAGGAAGAACAAAAGAAGAGATGCGAAAATGAGGAGATCTAAACAAGAAAAGGACAGGTTATTAAATAGAATAATTTTAATATATAATAAATAAAATATTTGAACGTTTATTATTACGTTTATTGCACAGTTTATTATTATTACGTTTATTTATAGATTTTATAGAGTTTATTTTTGCATATGAACTTTTTTTATTTTGAATGTATTAATTTCATACACAGTAATTATATATATATTTTATTATTTAAATGGTTACAGTATTAAATACATATGCATAGTTGTAAGTGCAATAAAGTAATTATTAAATATTATTTTTTAAATATAGTATAAAACGAGAAAAGTTATAATAATATATACAGTTGAATATTAAAGTAATTTAAAGTTCTAAGTATTTTAGTACTTTTATGCGTAGCTGTAGCATAAAAAATTAACAATCACTATGTTTATTTTATTAATGCCTATATATTAAAAAGTTATGCACATTTAAGTTTTCTAACAATTGTATCAATTTTTTTTCATAATTCTGATAAAGTGATAACTAGAATTTAAAAAAAATTACTTTAAAAATGATTTATTATAAGTATTAATTATATATGTTAGTGATATAGTTATTAAATATGATTAAATGATGTGATTTAACGTGAATGTGTATTAAATGATAGTTATACACCCACACACACGTACATATATAATAATATGGCTTATATTTTTTGGAACGTATATATGTATTATTTAAAAAATAAAAATGTAATTAAATAAATTACATTTATAATCTTTGAGACAAGCATATGACTACTGGCAGGATCAACCAGGGAGCTTCGTGTTCGGTTACTCGCAAGGGAGTAACTCGCGAGCGAGCCCGAAGACTCGTCGCTAGCTCTTTTTCGCGCGCGCGCGCGTTCGATGCCGAAACACCGACGCGCGCGCAACACGCTCGTATGTGCCATTTTATTTGCCGCCGGTCTTGCTCAGCCGGTCGGCGACACTCTGCTGTGTTTAACGCTATTATGTAAAGCGTACGAGAGAACGACGGAGGCGAGAGTAAACCCCCGACGCCGCCGCCTCTCCTCTTCTTCCTCCTCCTCTCCGTTCAAAAATCCACAAGATCAAAATACTCGTGTTCTTATTCTCCCAAATGTTATGATGCGCGGTCTCGAGAGACCGCGCGATTCACCCTGACGCTAGATCGACGATGGCGATGCTTAGACGTCGAGGACTGTTCTGTCTGGTTCGTACGCGTTTAACCGCACACGACCAGCAATAAGATTTCGCTACGGCGTACAAAGCGAGCGGGAAGAAGCAACTCTTCCCGCAAACTCGTTACCGTGGAGTAGATGCTCGGTAAGCGCGACGATTCCGCTGCTGCGTACGAAACGAGAGGGAACCGCGCGGCCAACACACTAGAGGCGTGCGCGCCACATAAGAGCCATTCGGTCTTGCGACACCGACTCGTGGCAATGCTGTGCTCGTAATAAATAAGTGTGCGTTAATTTTGCGCGCGTTCGGCGACGAACGAGAAGAGCCGCACCGTAATCCCCGGCGAAGAGGAATACGAGACGACGCGAGAGTCGAACGTACGTTCTCGCGAGACACGCAACCTCCAAGCATGAGAAGACTTGGCGGCGGCGCGTTCTGCGACGATCGTATATTATTTTATATATTCGTGGTTTCCAAATCAAACATTTTATATAAATGTTCTCTCCGTGTCAGAGTCGCGACTCGACAAAATCCGTTCTCGACCCGTTCGGGCGATTCTTCGTTTGTCAACGTCGAGAGCGCGACACGTACAATATTAATTTCTCCTACCCTCTTGTAGTACCCAACCGACCGGCCAAGCGGTCGGCGACGGTACGGAGAGCGGTCGAAACACGCCGGAGTGGCGAGAGACTCGAGAAAGTACGTTTACGACTCGTCCGGACTCGCTCGACTCGTTCGACGCGCCGAGCGCGACGTATCTCTTATTAAAAAAAGGTAAAGAAGGCGACCAGTTAAGGGCACGCCATTAACAAAAATTATCCATTGCAAACCCATGTACAATAGAATTGTATGAAAAATTATCGATTATAAACCCATGTACAATCGTAACAAAAGTAATGAAATAAAAAAAAAATTGCGCCAAGTGAAAGTAGAAACTTGTACCAGTGGAAAATTAAAGTTGCAGACATATATAGAGTCGTATAATGAATCAATAAAAATTTAAATTTGCAAATGTAGAATTGTACCATAAAAAAACTTATCTTTTAAAAAAAAAGATAAACAAGATGCCAAGTCCATGCGCCATGTGAAAAAGTGTTAAACAAAAAAGTATTTTTAAGTAAAAAAATCTATCAATTGACAAAAATTTATGTTCTAAAATTAATATCTCTACAAAAAGTAATGTCCAATTATTGCGCGAATAAATAAACATTTTTATAAAAAATTAAAATTTAAAAACTTATGCAAATTTAAAATTAATATAAAATAAAAAGAAATAAAAAAATTTTAGTTAAAAAAACTGGGCGCGCTGCTAAATAATATTCTAATGATATTAAAATTAAATTGTTACTTTTAAACTCATTGCAGCGCGCCCAGTTTTTTTAACTAAAATTTTTTTATTTCTTTTTATTTTATATTAATTTTAAATTTGCATAAGTTTTTAAATTTTAATTTTTTATAAAAATGTTTATTTATTCGCGCAATAATTGGACATTACTTTTTGTAGAGATAAAATTTTAAAACATAAATTTTTGTCAATTGATAGATTTTGTTTGAGATGCAAAATAATTCTTATCGCCAGTTAAATTATTTCGGCAGTAAAATGTAATTAGGATTTTCATATATTATACGTTTTCAGTCGAGACAAGGTTCGATCTCGAAAATAGTTATTGTTAAATTCTAGAATCTTCGATCGGCAATAATAAAGTCACATTTGTTTGTAATGGAATAAAAAAGAGTCGTAAATTGACAGCTGTCATATAAAAAAACGCTCAAATACACAAACAAGTAACGGTGTCGCAACCGTTCCGCCGAATAATTATATGCTATTGAGCATGCGCCACTTTAAAATCACGCAAAATTATTGGCGCTTCACGCGAGGGTGGGCTCCTCTCCGAAAATGATAAAAGAGGAGCTCACACCCGGTTTGAGGTCTTATCGCTTTCCGCCGTGTACGCATAAGAGTAAACCGCTTAGAAAAACCGCAGAACATTAAATCGACGACCACCGCCTTTTCTTGTGATTTCGAATTGTCCGCTGAAACTGATTAGATTTTGTGTTAATTTTTTTGTGCGTTTAATTGTTAAGTATTGTACATTATATTTCCGTAAAGATTCGTATATTAAAAGTTTCTTTTATACTAAAAGTGACTCATCCTTTTTTTGGTGTCGTTCGATTCCTCTCACGCAGCGCGTTCGCGAACATATTTCTGGTCCTTCGAGCCGGATCTTCTCGCCGGCACCCGCAAGTTTGTGAACGTGTCGTCGTGTAGTTCGTGAGTGCTCGTAGTTCACCATGGATGTGAACACGTTGATCGATTGCCAACGTGAGATCCAGGTCCGTATTTCGCGCTCCGTGGAATACCTGAAGAAGCTGGGCACGACCAACATCACCGCCAGTGCCGTATCTACACGCACCAGAATCTTAGATCAGCTGTGGACGAAATTCGAGGCACAGCATGATCTCATTCGCGCAGCTCTGAAAGAAAAATATTGTGAGAGCGAATACTGCAAGTCGGAGTTGCATGGAGATACGGAAAATCTGTACGTTGCACAACGCAGTACCTTGGATAGTTATGCCGAACATTTCCGGAAGCCGAACGTATCTCCATCCGTCGACGTCGCATCGAAGTCTTCGCTGCCGCGCATCAAGTTGCCGCCGTTCTCTGGCGCCTACGCCGATTGGCCATCCTTTCGCGATCTTTTTCTGTCCATGGTGAGCAGCAATTCGATCTCGAACATTGAGCGGCTCCACCACCTCCGCTCGTGTCTGACAGGTCCGGCTGAAAGGTTGATAAAGTCACTACCTGTCACGAGTGACAATTACGATCGCGCTTGGGCAATCTTGGACAAGCACTACAATAACAAAAGAGAATTAATCCGCTCCAACTTTGCCACGTTTACCGCCGTGCCAAAGATGAAGGGAGATACCGCCGAGGAGCTGAGCCGCATCCACAACGCTGTCACCGCCGCAGTCAACGCACAGGAGAGCATCGGACGTCCTATCAACTCGCATGGGATGGACCTGTTCAACCACCTGGTCGTCGAACTGTTCGACGCACGCACTCGTCTCGAATGGGAGTCAACCACTTCAGACTCCACCGAACCACCACAGAACGAGGCACTTCTCGACTTTATTAGTCGACGAGTATTGACGCTCAACGCCGCACGACCGAGGAGTGTCACAAAGGGACCTGGAGAAACATCACGATTCGCCAAAGCGCACGTCACGAAGCACCAAGGCGCGGATTCACCTCACTGTGCACTGTGCCGTGAAAACCATACCTTGATGACGTGCAAAAGCTTCAAGGCCAAGACTGCGGTTGAGCGGAAAACGTTCGTGGAGACCAACCGACTGTGCTTCAACTGCCTAGGCAATCATTTCTTAGCACGGTGTCAGTCAAAAAAGAATTGCCTCACCTGCAACGCACGACACCACACCATGCTGCACGGGGCATCCACATCAACACCATCCGCTGAGGCCACTTCACTTGCCACCACACTGGTCACTGCACGGCAAGCTAAGACGCACAAGGCCGTCCTTCTCGCAACCGCTCGCGTCAGGGTCGCTGATCGATACGGATCACCACACGAGGTTAGAGTCTTGATAGATCAGTGCTCCGAGGTGTCCATCATCTCTGAGGCTCTGGCTCAGCGTCTTCGGCTGCCTCGAGCTTCAACGGATCTGTCCATCTTCGGCATCGGAGGGACTCGCTCTGGATCAGCGCGTGGCAAGGTCACGATAGACATCACATCTGACGTGACCAATGCCGAGCTTCGCGTGGTGGCCTTTGTGCTGCCGCGCATCTCATTGCAACAAGGCACCGCTCAACGTGAAGATCGTAGCTGGCCTCACATCCACGGACTTCGATTGGCCGACCCGCGCTTCCTGGATGACGATCCTGCGGAGTTACTTCTGGGAGCAGAAGTCTACTCGCTGATCCTCGAGGAAGGCCTTCGCAAGGGCGGATCACGGATGCCGATCGCCCAGCAGACGAGCTTAGGATGGATCTTGTCCGGAGGCTACGACGCCGCAGCACCCGAAGGCCATCGCCGCACGTTCCAGTGCACCACAGACCACGACCTCGCTAACATGGTTCGACGCTTCTGGGAGCAGGAACGCGAGCCAGTAGCTGGGACACCGCTCACCGCCGACGAAGCCAGGTGCGAAGACTTCTACGTGCGCACGGTCACTCGCACGTCCAGTGGCAGGTACATGGTGAGGCTGCCATGTACTTCACCGCCGCCGACATCGCTCAGCGAGACTCGTCGACCCGCAGAGCGCCTCCTGGAAGCCATGGAGCGGAAGGGAGCACGAGATCCTCGTTTCGGTGACCTCTATCGAGATTTCATGGAGGAATACGAGAACCTGCAACATATGGAGGTCAGCACAACTTCAACAACCTGCAGCCCTAGGTGCTACTTACCGCATCACGGGGTCCTCAAGGAGTCAAGCACGACCACGAAGCTCAGGGTTGTGTTCAACGGCTCCCAGCGCACACGGTCCGGAGAGTCGCTGAACGCACACCTCCTCACTGGAGCCAATCTCTTGCCAACACTCGCTGATGTCCTACTTCGTTGGCGTTGGCATCGGTACGTTCTCGTCACGGATATCGAGAAGATGTACCGACAAATTCTTGTACATCCGGAGGATCGTCGCCTGCAAACCATCTTGTGGCGCCACACCAGCTCTGATGACGTCCACGAGTACGAGCTGAGGACCGTGACCTACGGGCTAGCGTGTGCACCCTTTCTCGCCATCAGGACTCTTCATCAACTCGCAGCAGACGAAGAGGCACGATATCCACGCGGAGTCAAGGCACTGCGACACGACTGCTACGTCGACGACGTGGTCACCGGCGCTGATAGCTTGGAGGACGCTATCGACCTTCAGCAGGAACTACGGAGTCTTTGCATGGCGGGCGGATTTCCTTTGAGGAAGTGGGCCGCCAACGATCAGCAGGTGCTCACCGGAGTTCCACCGGAACATCGGCATCAACGCAAACCGCACTCATGGGAGGGAGAGAGTCACGCTACCTTGGGCCTCCGATGGCATCCGCAAGGTGACTGGTTCTCCTTCACCATACGTCCGCGTGCAATCACCGACTTCACGAAGCGACGAGTTTTGGCCGAGACGGCTCGACTCTTTGACCCGATGGGGTGGCTCGCACCTGTCGTCATCAGAGCCAAAATTCTGATTCAGACGACGTGGCTTCAACGGCTGGACTGGGACTCCCCGCTGCCTGATCAGGACGCACACCGCTGGAGGCAGTTGTTGAATCAGCTTCCTCTTCTAGATGACATCCGCATAACTCGCTGGCTCAACACTGGGACCGACCATTCACAACTGCAGCTCCATGGGTTTGCCGACGCATCAGAGCGAGGGTACGCCGCCGTGGTGTACATCCGCAACGCTGCAACAGAGAAAACATCAATCAACCTGTTGATGGCAAAATCCAAGGTCGCACCTGTCAAGCAGGTGTCGTTACCTCGCTTGGAACTCTGTGCAGCAGCTCTACTTACCACGCTCATGCTCCACGTGCGCTCTACTCTCGATTTGACAACGACGCCAGTGCATCTGTGGTCAGATTCAAAGGTCACGCTCCACTGGATTCAAGGACACAGCACCCGCTGGAAAACCTTTGTCGCCAATCGAGTGTCTCAGATCCAGACCCTGCTGCCAGACGCTCAATGGAGACACATCGCTGGACGAGAGAATCCTGCAGATTGTGCATCACGCGGTGTTACTCCTGACGAACTCATTAAGCATAAACTGTGGTGGACAGGACCTACCTGGCTGTCAGGAGACGAGACTGCATGGCCTTGTTCCGTCATCGAAGCCGCAGAGGAGGACCTCCCGGAGCAGCGAGCCACCAGTTTGGTGGTCAAGGCACCGATCACGGCCGAACCTGACCTCCTCCTCCGGTTCCCGACGCTACAAAGGCTGCTGCGAGTTACTGCATGGTGTCGGCGATGGCTCAATCCGGCGAGACGCGACGTCATACTTGGCCGCACTTTGCATCCGGACGAGCTGGACGTCGCCTTATTTCGATGGCTGCGAGTGGTGCAGGCGCTCCACCTTCCTACGGACGTAGCTGCGGCCTCTGCTGGACGCACTAGTCCACCGCGAAGCCACCTAGCGAGGTTGAGTCCGGTCCTCGATGATCAAGGCGTGCTGCGCGTCGGAGGACGTCTCAAGCATGCTCAGCTACCACTCGACGAAAAACATCCAATGATCATCCCGGCGGCATCATGGTTGACTCGGCTGGTGATTGATTCCTGCCACCGACGGACACTGCACGGAGGTGTGCAACTGACTCTCGGCTTGCTCCGCCTGCGTTTCTGGGTGCCCCGAGGAAGGACCACCGTCAAGCAGCAGCTACACCGATGCGTGACCTGCACTCGATGGCGCGCCGCAACACCACAGCCTCCGATGGGTAACCTTCCTCGGGACCGAGTAACGCCAACTCGACCGTTCCTCAGCACCGGTTTGGACTACGCGGAACCAATCCTCCTCCGGACCAGCAAGGGGCGTGGACACCGTGCGCACAAGGGATACATCGCCGTCTTCGTCTGCTTCTGGTCGAAGGCCATTCACTTAGAAGTTGTCTCGGACTACACCTCGGAGGCCTTCATCGCCGCGCTACGCCGCTTCATCTCCCGCCGGGGTTTGTGCGCTGAGATTTACAGCGACTGTGGCACGACTTTCATCGGGGCAGATCGGACGCTGCGAGGTCTCTTTAACGCAGCGACAGCCGAAGGTCAAAGTGTCATCCTTGCCGCCACCGATCAAGGAATCCGCTGGCACTTCAACCCGCAAGCGGCCCCGCACTTTGGTGGTTTGTGGGAGGCCGCCGTAAAGTCGACCAAGTTTCACCTCCGTCGGGTGATCGGCGAGACCACCCTCACGTTCGAGGAGTTGAGCACACTCCTCGCCCAGATCGAAGCTTGTCTGAATTCACGTCCGTTACAGGCACTCTCAGATGATCCAGAGGACGTCTCGGCGCTGACCCCCGGTCACTTCCTCGTTGGGGCACCGCTCCTCGCCTTGCCGGAACCGTCATTGACAGAGCAGACGGTGTCCACCTTGTCACGTTGGCGTCATCTGCAGCGGATGAGGGATCACTTCTGGCAGCGATGGTCATCCGAATACGTGCACGGACTCGCCCCACGCACCAAGTGGCTCAAGGATGCACCTGCACCCCACGTCGGCGATCTCTGTCTCGTGCGCTCCGAGATCACCCCTCCGAGCCGATGGCCTCTCGCTCGCATATTGCGTTTGCACCCCGGAGACGACGGGATTACACGCGTCGTGACCATCCGAACGGCCACGTCCGAGCTCGTGCGCCCACTCGTCAAGCTCGTGTTTCTTCCGGGCGTGAACGACGCGCCTACACCGCACATTGACACATAGCATCACTCACTACACAATCATCACATCATGCACCATATCAATTGTCACACATCACTTGTCTCGCTCACCACCGCACTAAAACTCGTCTCATTTTCACCGCTCACTGCATCTCACACTCGCCGTTCACATCTGCCACATGTATTCGCCGTTCCAGCTGATCGATTCACATCACGCGACCACCACGTGTTTTCGTCGACTCAGCTGATCGATTCGCAACACGCGATCATCACGTGAATTTCACCGCGCCGACGCGAGCCCGCCCCACCATCAATCACCATCGGAATGTGATCCGCGCCGAAATCATCATCAACCATTTGTCACGTTGCGACAAGGCGGGCGGGATGTTTGAGATGCAAAATAATTCTTATCGCCAGTTAAATTATTTCGGCAGTAAAATGTAATTAGGATTTTCATATATTATACGTTTTCAGTCGAGACAAGGTTCGATCTCGAAAATAGTTATTGTTAAATTCTAGAATCTTCGATCGGCAATAATAAAGTCACATTTGTTTGTAATGGAATAAAAAAGAGTCGTAAATTGACAGCTGTCATATAAAAAAACGCTCAAATACACAAACAAGTAACGGTGTCGCAACCGTTCCGCCGAATAATTATATGCTATTGAGCATGCGCCACTTTAAAATCACGCAAAATTATTGGCGCTTCACGCGAGGGTGGGCTCCTCTCCGAAAATGATAAAAGAGGAGCTCACACCCGGTTTGAGGTCTTATCGCTTTCCGCCGTGTACGCATAAGAGTAAACCGCTTAGAAAAACCGCAGAACATTAAATCGACGACCACCGCCTTTTCTTGTGATTTCGAATTGTCCGCTGAAACTGATTAGATTTTGTGTTAATTTTTTTGTGCGTTTAATTGTTAAGTATTGTACATTATATTTCCGTAAAGATTCGTATATTAAAAGTTTCTTTTATACTAAAAGTGACTCATCCTTTTTTTGGTGTCGTTCGATTCCTCTCACGCAGCGCGTTCGCGAACAGATTTTTTTACTTAAAAATACTTTTTTGTTTAACACTTTTTCACATGGCGCATGGACTTGGCATCTTGTTTATCTTTTTTTTAAAAGATAAGTTTTTTTATGGTACAATTCTACATTTGCAAATTTAAATTTTTATTGATTCATTATACGACTCTATATATGTCTGCAACTTTAATTTTCCACTGGTACCAGTTTCTACTTTCACTTGGCGCAATTTTTTTTTTATTTCATTACTTTTGTTACGATTGTACATGGGTTTATAATCGATAATTTTTCATACAATTCTATTGTACATGGGTTTGCAATGGATAATTTTTGTTAATGGCGTGCCCTTAACTGGTCGCCTTTTTTTACCTTTTTTTAAAGGTGAGTTTTTAGAGATTATATCATTCATTTTTGTATATGATAAGCATCTTTAAATAAATAAGCAAATTCAATTTTTCTGGCATTTTCTTATTTTAGGTACATATATATCCAATAATTAATATACAAAATTAAATATTATTCATTACACAATTTGTATCAAAATAATATATTTTTAAAAATTTATTTTAAATTTATTTAATCATTTTTATCATTGTGATTGTAGTGGCAAGGATTTTATTGCTCAGTGTCATTGCAAGCATCTGGCCTGTATATACCATAATATATTGTGTAATACATTGGCTAAGTATGACAATATGGATTTTGATAGATTCCCATGGAATATTGGAATTTTGTCGGACTTGCAGTCATCCACCACATATGCAGCCTAGAATTAAAGAACGCATTTATTCCATATTATTTGCTTCTGTTATTGGCATAGTGCACATTTTTATATATCTCAATGCTGTAGATAGCAAAACATTTTGAAAACATCTATCTTTCTATGTTATCTGCTTTTTTGAAAATATTGCAGCAAATTTATTATGGCAATATGCTTGTCCTCCTGCAGTTAAAGAGGCTTAGTACTTTAATATAATCTTTATTATTTGTATCATTTCCTTTTTCTTGGGAATTACAGCAATGCTTTTGTACTATATTGTCTTGCATCCCTCAAAAAGACAACATACTTCAAACGCACCAGTTCAAGCAATGTAACTTTGATATTTATTTACTTTAAAAAATGAGAGATAAACTATACAATATGCAATTAACCTTATCTTATGACTTTTATAAATCTTATGATAAAATCTAACTCTCTCTTAATCTTTATTATGAAAAGAATCTCGGTATTATATGAAATAATTTCATTGTAATTAATAGTTTAACTTTCAAAAATTTTGCAAAATAAAATAACTCATACATTGTATTTCTACCATATATATAAAAAAAAGATAGGTAAATATAAATAAATAAATATATATTTATGATATACAATAAATATATATATATATATATATATATATATAAAATGATGGATTTTTATTATATATATATAATTTAAAAAAATCTTTTTTATATGCTATTGAATTTTAATACATACAATTTTGATTATATGTATTTTAATTAATTATATTTATAAGTATTTTTATATTATCTTAAAAAGACTGCATAGAATTATTTGTGCGACACTCTTATATGTATGTATAATTAATAGGGACCAACTACACATTTTTTTTTCCACTGAATAAAAACAATCTCAATATTAAAATTAAATTATAAAAAAGATACTGTGATATTTTATTGATGAGAAATGTACATTTATAATTGTATTAAATACAAAAATAAACATGCCATGAATTACTATATATACATATTTTCATAATTATCAAACTTAAAAATATAATATTGTTACCAAAGAAGAAAGCACTATTTAAAAACTCTAAAAGTTCATAATTTGTTAAATTAGTAATTAAATACTGCATTTTGTATAATTTTTAAGCTTTATTCTTTTATTTTTCTTTATTTAATTGAATAGATATTAACATCCAATGTAGCATACAGATTAAATTAACAACCAAAAAAATAAATCTTAACTTTGAAATATATTTTTGTTTCTTTTAAATATCAATCAACTGGATTTTGTACTACTATTAATATGAATTCTTTATCTGGTGCCATCATAATTTTATGTTTTTTGCTACGTATGCGCAAGAAAGTTAAATCATTTGTTGGATTCAAGTCACGTACGACAGAACGAGCTTTATCTGACAATTGACTTATCAAACCTGCGTATTGAACTGTTGTCGTATTATCTAATGTTGACTTTATAGGAATACCTAAAACAAATATAATTTTATAAATTTTTGTTTACAACTACAAGTAAATCATGTCAATGATCTCATGTAATACCTTCTGCATTCACCACTATTGTTCCAACTACCCTTTTATGAGACTAAATTTGTTTCATAGTTTCTTCAACCTCTTATAAATTATTTCATCGAAATTTATTAATAAAATTTTTATTTTAAATATTCCAATAACGGAAGCAAATCATATGGAATAAATGCGTTCTTTAATTGTAGGCTGCATATGTGGTGGATGACTGTAAGTCCGACAAAATTCCAATATTCCATGGGAATCTATCAAAATCTATATTGTCATACTTAGCCATTGTATTACGCAATATATTATGGTATATACAGGCCAGATGCTTGCAATGACACTGAGCAATAAGATCCTTGCCACTACAATCACAATGATAAAAATGATTAAATAAATTTTAAAAAATATATTATTTTGATACAAAGTGTGTGATGAATAATATTTAATTTTGTATATTAATTATTGGATATATATGTACCTGCAATAAGAAAATGCCAGAAAAATTGTAAAATAGTTCCTATAGCACTGATATTAGATTTATCTTGTTAAGCTAATCAAATGCTGCGATGATAACTAGCCATTGCCCAACCCATGCTCACAAGTGAGCTGATAATGCTACCTGCTTGATGTACAACTGAAAAAAATATAGAAGCTAATTAAGAAAATTATTAAAAATATATGCACACTCATACATAGGCATTTATAATTTATATAATTGAAATATTATTGAAATAATAGCAAAATATCTGATTTTGTATCACAGACTGTAAACTTGCACATAAATTATTATGACAATAAATTTGCAAATAATAACATTAAAATTGAATGTAAAAATTGAAATTGAAAATTGAAAATATCTAACCCCGCACGCTGTCAATATAGCGGAGGGCAACTATCGCCGTCTGTTGTAAAACGTGCGAGATGGACATTTCCAATACATGCATCTATTCATGTGTTGTGTACGTGTGATATATGTGTGCGCATGTGTTGTATACGTGTGAATACGTGTAGCACGATACTACTATGTTTGCGTGGTCGATGATAATAATGATGACGGGGACGTTTCTTAAAAGAAATTTTTCATATTTCGACTTTGCAATTATATATCTCTGCTTACAAATCACGTAGAGCAGAAATAAAGACACTTTTATTATATAATTCAAACTCAATCTATCGATTAAGTCTAGTATAAACTTGATTGCTTCAGCCGTTATTGAGAATTCGAAATATTATAAAGACTCAAATGTCCGACTCGCGTTAAGATACACGGTGTCTCGGCTACGCCCTTAACTGGTCGCGAGACACTACCGTGTCTCTTGATAGTACCCAACCGGCCGGCCAGGCGGTCGGCGACGCACGGTAATACGCACGGCCGTATGCGAGCGCGAGCGCCGAAAGGCGCGTTCAATCGAGACATAGTCGCGGAGAGCGAACGATCGAAAAGTCCTATTGTACGATAAAATATTATCACGATAGCCGTATGGCGAATGTCAAACAACGATAATTAGCATTAATTAAGAAGGAAACAAACGAAATGCCGGGACAATAAGGTATAAGCACCGACGGTACCTCCGGGCCGGGCGGCACCTCCGGGCCGGGCGGCACCTCCGGGTCGGGCGGCACCTCCGGGCCGGGCGACACCTCCGGGAACCACGGCCGACCGGCGACACCTCCGGGCCGGGCGACACCTCCGGGAACCACGGCCGACCGGCGGCACCTCCGGGCCGGGCGGCACCTCCGGGCCGGGCGACACCTCC